GCAGAGGCTGAGGGGGGGAGGCACTACACTACCTGAAGTAACACTTTACTGAAATTTAACTACTTAGGGTTTTCCACACACTATTTTCTTCTAGGCTGAAATTTAAAAAGTTATTAATGCAAATACTATTCTGACTAATTCTTTAAAAATAGCTGAGCACTTTGAATTTATAGCATGCATGTACAGGTTGGGCTTATTTTGTTTGGGTTTGTACTATTGGTGTGTACTCATTTACATTTAAATTGTTGTCCATGCGGAAAGAGAGGGAAGCACAGTATGGTGCTTTCATGTACCGCCTTCAGTCGTAAGAGAGAGAGTTTACATGCTGTGCCTTAAAAATCTCCCTCCTGCCCAGGGAGGAAATGGGTCGAACCCGTGTTCAGCTGTTTTTCAGCAGCAGCCCACTTCAGTCAGTTTGTGCAGGGAGAACGAAGGAGGTGCAGAGGAGAAACTAAATGAGATGACAGATGAAGCCGGCAATTGTTTAGGGTGGTGTACGCTACGTGTATCTGTCATGACCCAGCCACGGCTGGGAGGAAGCTAATCGGTTCATTTTCTATTCAGTACCACCAGCAGGAGGGGTTCTTATAGGGAACAAAGATAATTTGTCCTTTACGTGATGCTCATTTTGATTGGTAAGAAAATGTGTATACGTGATAGAATGGGAAGTATCACGCTGCTTGGTGGTGACCCCAGCTGAAAGCAATATACCTTCAATCTTCCCAAAGGGATGCCTCAGCAAGGAAGTTCTAATATTTTTCCTAAAATATTTATTGTGAATACAACAGATTCACAGTCGGAGAGTGAGGCTTCTCCTGTGAAACGGCCACGGCTACTGGATGACAGTAATGACAGGCCTGAAGAAACCAGTCGATCCAAACAGAAGAGTAGACGCCGATGCTTCCAGTGCCAAACAAAACTGGAGCTAGTACAGCAGGAACTGGGATCATGTCGCTGTGGTGAGTACTGTTTGTCAGTAGCGTCCAGCTTTCTAACACAGCCGTGCTCGGATCTGTATCAGAGGTGGAAATACAGGGAACACTTGCATTTTGTATCTTTCAGAGATACTTTAAACAGAAGCTATAGCTTCCACTGGTAGCAAAAAGTTATAATTAGTTCCTGTCTAATTTCCCATTTAAAACTTTGGCCTTGATGTACTGCCTTGTCTCAAGAGATCTCAGATGTTAATGAATTTAGCTTCAGAAGTCCCTGTACGGCGGGAGAGCGTCATACCCACTTGACAGGAGAAGAAACACAAAGCACATCAGTAAATATGCAAAGATGACAAGGTTTTTACAGAGCTTAAAGGAACATAGGTCAGCATCTACATTCTGCTTTTTATAATTATGTTATTATTAAAAAATTAAAACCAAAAAAACCGCTAACTGAAAATGTTTTCATTCTCACAGTTAGCTGTTAGGGGGGAGAAGACTTGCTGTTCACCGTGCACTTAAAATCATCCAACCTGGCCTTCCGAAGTTGATGGCACTGTTCAGCTAATTGAATTGAGGATGATAATCTCATGCAGACAGCTAATTTGGGGTTTCGTATTACATGCAAATAATCTTTCTGAAATAATAATTAATGTGACTAGACTCCAGAGGAGATGCTCTCTCCTTCATGGAACAATTGTGTTCATAACTGGCTTAAATGTGCTCATCAGAGCCAGTGATAATGCACATGGTAGTTTTTATTATGCTAATTATTTTTTCATATAATCGTGTATTGAAAGCTTACGCTTGCGCTCTCTGACCATGCTTGTATTGATACATTTGGAGAAGTTTGTTTACTTTATCGTGTCTCAGCAGGGGGGTCATTTCCAAAGCATTGGCATAGACGATAGGTGCAATTCACATTGCACCTGTGAAATGTAGAACGTTGTATTAAAATGTTTTCTGGATGGAAGGCATGTCCTTCTGAGCAGCAGTGGGAAGAGAAAGGATTGGCTAAGCTAGTTACAAAGACCCAGTTAATGAATTCTATATTGAATACCTAATATCAAGTGAAGAGAAGCGATAGAAAGCTGCAAAGATTCCATGTTATCCTTTGTTCTTTTCTTCAGCGCCTGTCTGTCTGCAGCCTTTAGAGGTTACTGTTGTCCTCTTTCGGACATGAGACAGGCTTTGTTTCAGATATTGGAGCACTGCCATAGAACTGATATACGTTACCTGTGAAGCCACCAAAGATGAAATCAAAAGCTGTAATGTTGAAATTCTTGTTACGGAAATCATGCGTCTGGTTACTGTGAAGTATCAAACTGAAGAAATTCACTATCAATGACACAGTTTGGCACAGCTCTTTCTGCTCAGCATGGTAGAGGCAGGAGTTTCTGCTCTTGGTCTGCTGCTGTCACGTATCAAATGACTGAGGCTGCTCACAGGTTCCTGACTGAAATAGAAGAATCCTCCCTAATATTGGGAGCAAGAGAGTTTTACAAGTTTGGGAAGAACTGGAGAAAAGATGACTTAGCGATTATGTTATATCATTAATCTTTCCCGCATTCTGCAAAATTGGAGCTATGTAAGAGCAATGAAGTTGAAAGCAACTTTTTAAAAGTCCTTCCATTAATTACTAATGTTTTTAAAATTATAAAATAAGACCTGCTTTTTTTTTTTTCCATAAACTGGATGACACATACATCTAGTTGGTTCCTCTCAAGTTTTCTTGAAGTGGTTCCATAATTCAACATTGTTGCAATATAAATGTTGTAGGAATTATTCTTTAAATTGTTTCGATTGGATATATAGAGCTTTATGGAAATAATTCTATTAAACTTCATAAAATATGTTCATAAAACATGAATATGAAACAAAAAATTCTGAGTTCCTCAGAAATAAGTGAGGAAATGAAAATTTGCATTCCTACATTACGTATTGCATCCTATATAGTTTAAAGGATGTATAATAAACATTTAGATTCCAACATTTAATGAGAGAAGTGAGAGGCAGGAGTCTATTTCCATGTTTACAACACGGCTGAAAAGACTGGAGATCTTTGGTTTATCTGTGCAGCTGTAATGTTTCGTTAATACTGTATTCAGTACATGTGTTATCTATAATGAAATGCTCTCATGATGTGAAAGCAGGCATACCCTGCACTACTTACTTCTAATAGTAATATTAATAAGAAGCAAACAAAACCTTATCACTGAGCAACACAGGTCACCTCAGCTTCACGTCACCAAAACTGCTTTACCAATACTTATCAGCATGTAGCTTTTATCATTTTTAAAGAAGATGCCTTAGAAACCATTCTCACAAACTTTGCCCTACTGTCTGTAAAAATGAGGTTGCTTTAGGTCACGAATGACAAGCCAGATCAAAAAGCCTGGGGAAGGGTTGATGGGAAATGGGACAGAATAAATACGTTGAAATTCTTGTTCACTTAAAATGTTTTCTAAATCTATGTGTGATCAGGTTATCCTTTTAGTCATAATGTGAAGCACAGGTAATGATGAGTGTTTAACTGGAAATGTTAGAAATATAATCAACTGGTGTAAAAGCAGCATGTATATTTTTCAGAAGTAATGGTCAAGGTAGAACATTGTTTGATCTGGACTTTGGACCACTGCTATTAAATTCTTGGCATCTTAATCCTTAACTGAAGCAATGGGAAAAAAACATGGAAAAAACCTTAACTTTAAACATTAAAAGAAATTCCGATAGAATCAATAAAAAGGCAGACACAGTCTTTAGACGGACAAATGTGTGTGTTTGCTTGGTTGTAAGGAAAAAGGATTAACCACATAAATATTATGTTGTTCCAAAGCTGTGTCTGAAACACTGTTGTTAAAATCCCGATTAACTCTTTAAGACTCCACAGAACAGCAATTTTATTGTTTGCTGTTACCCATCGTCTTGTCTTAATGTTAAAAGTACTGGAAATCATCTCCTCTTTTGCTGATGTGTCCTCATGACTCTTCCAGTGAGATTTTTAGTGAGACACAATAGCAAGAAAAACCTATACATACTGGACAATGTTTTAATATACCTGCAGATATTAACCCAGTGTAACTGGGACTTGTCCAGTGGGGTACAACCTTTTTAAAAGGAGTCAGAGTGAGTGGGCTGCTTCTTTACACCAGATTCAGAGATCCTTGGGAAACTGCTGTATTGGCTCTACTATCTCCTGTAAGACCTGTCCTGAGAGAGGTGATGCTGCTGAGCTCGTTCCCTTGACACTACATGGAATTTTAGACAGATTTGACAGTGCTGCAGGGCTTTGCCATGAAGAAAAACAGTTCATTACTAAGAAGGGAGTTCCAGTAATGGTTCTTCAAATTAAAACACAACATTTTTCAGCTGTAGAAAGATTTGTTTATTTTCATACACACTTACATGCATACTCTCAAATTTTTTTTTCATTCTGCTTCCACTCTGCACAAGTTATTAACTGCTGACAAGAAATTCACATCTCATAAATAACGCTTAAGAGCCATTGCTATATAAGTTGAATGTGTTATGAATTGTGATGGGCCTTTTTGTAGTGTTCTGTGCCTGGAGCAGGAAGAACAGAGGATGTCATTTTCATTAATTTCTAATGAGGTGCCAATTAAAGGCAAGGAAGGAACTCAGAAGGGAAGAGTCACAGAGCTCCCCTGAATCCTGTACCCTGGGGCTGTCAAACAAGCGTGCTGCCGAGCCTCCTCTGAAAGTTCCAGTAAATTACAAACTCATCCAGAGCACACGCAGACAAATTCGGCTTCCCTTTGATCTTCAAAAGAGCAATTTGTAAGACGAGTTCTGAGCCTTTTCACATGGCGAACTGGGAGAAGTGATAGGAATTGTTAATTGCTGATGCACTCTGCAAGCTTCAGTGAGAAAGAGAAATTTTAAAATGAATTCTCATTTTGTGCCTCTCTGACTGGATAACCTTTAAATCAACACTACTAGAATAAAACCAGCTTCCTGTGAAACGTTTTTAGATGACAGTTACACTAGGCACGTTTTCCAGCCAGCGATGTTCTCCAGTTTTGGGTGGACCTTTAGTGTCTTACGATGGATAATGATTGTATTGAAATAATGTATTCATTTAATATCATATTTAGTAGGCAGTTATATCATCAAGGAATTACAGGAATCATATTCTTCAAGTTACATTCTATTACAGCATTTCTGCTGGAAGTGTAAGCAGTCCAAAATCAATCGCCTGTGATCCTTGATCTGAAAATTGTCAGTTCAGTGATGTGATAAGCAGGTGTTACCACAGACTTGCTTTAAAACTAGGGGCAGCGAATTTGTGAGTTAAAGTAGCTATATAACACAGAGTTCTGGAAATGTATTTTAGAAGAAGACAGGTCGCTTATTTGAAAATTACACTATAAATTTATGGGCCTTGTCTTAATTACTTGACTAGATGTATATCACTACTAAATAAAGTTGTGTACGCTTGTAAAAGATACTGAGCTGTAAAATTCTAAGCCATAGAAATTATTTGCACAGAAAGCATAGCTTAGTTTTATGGCAGAAGTTCAGTATTTTACAGCAAAAAGTAGTTCTGATATCACTTGTGTAAAGCCAACACACAGAAATCTGTAGCGGTCTTTAATATTGTTGGAATTGCGCAAGTCGGACGAGGATATGCTAGATGATCAGTAAAGGAATTCCATGTCTGTCATGTTAGATCCAGTCCTAGTCAGCAATTAGAACAGCACAATGTGCCAGCTCTTCAGCAGCTTTGGTGTAGAATGGTTTGCTCTTTGTAGGCCACACGGCTGTAGCTCAGGCTCCACCTAGCCAGAACTCTTGGCAATCAATGGGGTGGGCAAGATAACGGGCCCTGGAAAGGACGCCTAGCTTTAGCTTCCGGTAGAAGTGCCTTAGAGAGATGGTGCTGATTTGTTTGTGTGCTTCTCAGGTAGGAATCTCACGGTTTTTGTGTTCTTTGGCCAGAGTAGATGCTTAATAGGATGGGAAGATGTTGAAACCTTCCAGTTTGATCAGACTATATCAAAAAATAA